AACGTTTTGTACTCTTGAGTTTTCAGCAGCTATACTATCTGTAACCCTACCGGGGCACAAGCCCAAGCATCCCGAGAGACATGCTCATCTCAATATGCTCGTACGGTGGTGCAGCGACTAGGGCAGCACAGTGCAACCGGGCTAAGGGCCGATGTCGAGGCTAAGGCTGATGTTGAAGCTGAGCATCGTCGAAATGATGTGACGCTGGAGGATGTGGGGTAAGTAAGCAGAAAGAGCATGTGGAACAGAATGCGGCAGGTCATAGTAGTCGTGGCAAACAAGCAGAGTACCCAGAGCACCTTGTAGGATTCCTACTAAACCCGGAAGTAGCGCCGGTCGATGCTGAAAAGTATTCACCAACAATTCACGAGATCTGATCATCATCCTCATCCTTCATCCTCATCCTTCATCCTCATCCTCATCCTCATCCTCATCCTCATCCTCATCCTCGTCATCATCATTTTCAACGTTATCATGTTTTAGTATTTTCACGAGAAGTGATCAGCATCTGCTTCATCTGAATTACAAATGCGTAGCCAACTAATCTTCCCAGGTTTATCAATTCGATTAGTGAATATCATTCTTATGGACAATGTATTAGTAAATACGGCGTTGGACAGTAGAATTTCTAGTCTGGGTTTGTTGACAAAGAAGTTAGGCTGCATGATCTTCCACCCCTAAACCCAAAACTCCCAGCTGCTTTACTGGCCCGTTGGGCTGTTCCCCCTAGTACTAACAGTCCTTAATCGGGATTTCGGTACCCCCCATGGAATCCCCATGAAGGCTTGTTTCCGGGAGAACATCCCAACCCTAAACCCTAAACCCTGAACCCTGAACCCTGAACCCTGCACCCTTAACCCTTAACCCTGAACCCTAAACCCTAAACCCTAAACCCTAAACCCTAAACCCTAAACCCTAAACCCTAAACCCTAAACCCTAAACCCTAAACCCTAAACCCTAAACCCTAAACCCGGGAGATCTGGCTCCCTGGAACCGGCCGCGTGCTGACCCTACAGCGGCGAAAGCATCCTGGCGCGCCCCCAAGCCCCAAAGCCCGAAGCCCCACACACCTAGAGCCCGAAACCTGGTTTTCTTTGGGGTTCGAACGCATTTTCGGGTTCAGGGGGTTAGGGTTTAGGGTTTAGGGTTTGGGGTTTATGGTTAGGGTTTGAAGCCCCAAAGCCCGAAGCCCCCTTGGGGTCGCCCGAACGTATTTCAGGGTTCAGGGGGTTCGGGTTCAGGGGGTTCGGGGTTAGGGTTTAGGGTTTAGGGTTTTGTGTTTAGGGTTTAGGTTTAGGGGTTTTTCAAACTCCTGACCTCTCTGATGTAGGGCCCCGAAGACAATATTCCAGCCGGCAGCGATGGCCTGAAACAAAGTCTCACCCCGCGCGGCAGAAGCCCTACACCCCTGAACAACCTGAAGTTCTCAAATCACCAGATCCCTACAACCCTAACTCCCTGAACCACTGGCATCCCAAAACAAACCCTAAACCTTAAACCCTAAACCCTAAAATCCCATGGCTAGACATCCCTCGGATGTCTCAGGATCTGCATCTTCGGCTTGATCCGAGCCGCTGGATCCTTTTTTGTTGGGTTTAGGGTTTAGGGTTTGGGGTTTAGGGTTTAGGGTTTAGGGTTTAGGGTTTAGGGTTTGGATTCCGGGTTTAGGGTTTAGGGTTTGGGGTTTAGGGTTTAGGGTCATCGTTCCGCCCTGTCGGGGGTCTCGCCTGTAGTACAATCGTCTTGGTGGTTGGTGAAGACAGGCTTTGGAAGGCAACCCTAAACCCTAAACCCTAAACCCTAAACCCTAAACCCTAAACCCTAAACCCTAAACCCTAAACACCAAACCCTGAGCGCAGGAGCGCCCTGAACCCTTAAACCCTTCAACCCTAAACAGACGCTATCATGTTGGGGCCAAAGCCCCAGTAAAGAGCCAGGGTTTTAGGGGTTCATGGATCAGGCTTTCGGGGCTCTTTTCCGGGCTTGGGGGTCTAGGGTTTTGGGTGGGTTGAAAGTTTGCTCAACACCGCAACTAGGACTCAGAGCAGGCACTCATTCCCCTTTCTTAGGGGTTAGGTTCCCTTATAAGCCCCTTTATACCAAAAGGGCACCCTTCTTATTCCTAGGCCACACTTGGGTCGAGACAGGGTGCCCCAGATGATTAGGGTTTAGGGTTTAGGGTCTAGGGTTTAGGGTTTAGGGTTTAGGGTTTAGGGTTTAGGGTTTAGGGGCGGACGGTCACACTGAGGAGGTGGGAGGTTGACCCCAGGCGGTGAACTGGACAACACGAGCAGCAGTGACTTCCCTCATTGCAATACACTTTGCTTGGGAATAAGCCCGAGGCCCCTAAACCAGCCTAAACCCTCACCCCCTCAGCCCTAAACCCTAAAACCCTAAACCCTAAACCCTAAACCCTAAACCCTAAACCCTAAACCCTAAACCCTAAACCCTAAATCCTAAATCCTAAATCCTAAATGAATGGATCTTACCTGCACAGACCAGGTCATGTACTTCCCAGAGGTGCAAGCCAATGGACTGTTGTTTGAGGCAGCGGGAGCTGGGCACTGGGCTTTCCCCTGAGGGCCCATGTGCCCACATAGTATATACTTGGGCCTTAAAGGGATTCCCATTTAGTAGCTTCAGGGCCCAAGTATATACTAGATGGGTACATGGTCCCTTAGGTTTTTTCATCTGCTGACGTCAAAGGTTGAGATTGTTTGTTGGGGGTGGGGGGGGCGGTTGTTTCCTACTTTTTTGGTGTATTTCTTTTTTTTTTTTGGGGGGGGGGGGGGGGGGGGGGGGGGGAGGTGGGGTTAAGGAGGTTAGGGGGTTTGGGCTTGACCAGTTTCAGCCCCTTAGCCCTCCGTCAAGCACAAACATTGCCTAAATCGCTACCAGCATTGTTAGCTAGAATATAAACGTCTCATAACGATTCTCTACCCAACCTACCCTCTCTAGTCAAACGAGGGTAGTTACATGGGTTTGATAGGGTATACAAGGGGTATATAAAGGTTCCCCATGAAATGATGTAACTTGGGGATGTTCCCCCCTGTATACGAACAGTCCTTAACAGGATTCATCGTACCCCCTAGTCTAATCCATTTGAGGCCCCAGTGCTCAGGGACCATGTAAATACCCCTTGGTTGACGCCGCGTCCAGGCATGCTGCCGCTCACTACTCCGACTCCTTCGGCTGCGCATCTCGTCTTTGGGGGTTCTAAACCCTAAACCGGAAACCCCTAAACCGGAAACCCCTAAACCGGAAACCCCTAAACCGGAAACCGCTAAACCCTAAGCCCTAAACCCTAAATCCTAAACCCTAAACCTTAAACCCTAACTGGTAATAACGGTCGCCTTCAAGGGCCCCAAAGTTGCAAGGTCTGGGGGTCCAGTAGACAAGGACTTAAACCCTAGGGTTTAGGGTTTAGGGTTGAGGGTTTAGGGTTTAGGGTTTAGGGTTTAGGGTTTACGACTCAACCCAATACATGTATAGAATATAATTCCGAAGTCATCGTACTTCGATTCCAATCTAGGGCGCGTCCGAATGTTCTAATAACTCGAGGGAGCCTCCGCCAGGGGCGTTAGGGTTTATTCACGTTTTAGGGCTTTGGGTTAGGGTTGTCAGTTTTAGGGTTTATAAGTATTGGGGCTGGGTACTTATGAATTGTAAGGCTTGGGGTTTATAAGTTTATAGGTCTTAGGGTTTAGGGTTTGACAGTTTACAGTTTAGGTATCCTGGTTTTTCTTTTAAGTTTTTTGGGCCTAGGGGGCTTAGGGTCTTCGGGTTTGCAACCCTGTATAGTCGCCCTCCACCCTTCTAGGTACACTTGTAAGGCTTTAGGTTTTACACCCTAAACCCTAAACCCTAAACCCTAAACCCTAAGCCCTAAACCCTAAACCCTAAACCCTAAACCCTAAACCCTAAACCCTAAACCCTAAACCCTAAACCCTAAACCCTAAACCCTAAACCCTAAACCCTAAACCTAAAGGTCCAAGATTTGACTTAAGAGGTTCGGGTGCGTCGGTGGCTTTCTGGGCTTCTTTCCAGGGATTAAGACTCGTACCCCTAAGGTTTAGGGTTTAGGGTTTAGGGTTTAGGGTTCAGGGTGTGCTCCTTACGGTTTCCCTTATGCTATTCTCCAAATATTGCCCTTGCATTGCCTTCAGGATCTTGAAAAAGTGGGTTCCCAAAACTTAGGGGGTCCAAAAGTAGAGTACCAGGATTCTTTAGAATCTCAGGCCAGCACGGTCTATCCGTGCTGATGTTCGAGGAGCTCTTCAACGGCAGGCTCAGTTCGGGAGCTCGCTATGGTAAACAAATTATGAACCTGACACACCAAACCCTAAATTGTGGGTTTAAGGTTAGGGTTTAGGGTTTAGGGCTGAGGGCTGAGGGACCCCGGAGCTGAATCCCGGCAATTTCTTGGCCCATTGTGCAGACACCTGCAGATGATCGAGGTGCAGGGGTAGGGCATATGATCCCCTTAGCCCACTTAAGGGACTGAGAGAAGGGGGGGACCCCCGAAGGGACCCTTAATCTTGTTCCCTTCCAGAACCCCCAAACATACGGGGACTGTGAAGCAGGGTTCATACTACTGTTATGGGTGAGTGTATATAAGGTTCCCTTTTTTAATATTGGTGAGTGTAGATACCTGGTGTCCTTTTGGGGGTACAAGCAGTATATCCCCTACTTCATATACCTAAGTAGGTGTACGATTCGTTTCCAGCACACATATGCAACGCGCAGGCAGCACAGTTGGGGTAAAACGTGGCTTCAGAGTCTGCGGTGCTGCGACAGCCATCTCGGCTCTTTTGCCGCCCGCTCACTGTGGCAAAATTGCAATGCGGCGCTCAGGATTTGCGTGCCTTATCTTGCTAAGCCAACTTTCCAAGGTTGCGTGGAATCTGTTGTGGCCAGCTTTTCTCTCGCAACGGAACTTATTTGCGACAAGGCTTGGAAGTGGTGAGACCTTTCGGATGGTAATGAGGCAGGCCAACTCTATGCCTGTTACCCCAAGCAATCACGAATCAACTGCCAGGGCTGTTGGCAGCCTGGTATCTGCCCTAGTCGGGAATGACTTTTACCAGCCCATAAACTCTGCGCCATTGCTCACATTGCAGGAAGAGCTCGCGGCTTTCTTTGAAGTTTTCAACGACATGCGAAGGAATCCGAGTTGTGTGGCGGCCCGATTGGACACAGCTGCAACTCAGCTTGCGCAAGAATTTGCCCACGAATTTGCGCAAGAGTCAGACTTCGAGAAGTCGCTCATGGTTCAAATTGCCCAGCTCACTGGCTTGCAGTACGACCACGGCGCAAAGAGAATTCTAGTTGTGGAAGATTGTGGTTTCAAGGTTGAAATTCGTCAGCAAATCACAGCTTGCACGGCGTGTTTCGAAAGCCTGCCTGTAGCATTGGCAACTGTGCCAATGGCCAGATCTGATATTGGCATACTTCTAACTCACAACAAGTTTGGACAAGAGTCATCAGCGTGTCTGGGCGTGGTCGAGTTGAAGGTGGGCAAAGAAGTAATCGACGAACCAGTGAAAATGGCAAAGGGGCCACTTGCGCGGACCGTTGCATACCTTTTCGGATGGCAGGTGCCTTGCATGGAAAGTCTGCAATTGCCAGTTGACCATTCTTTAGCTGCCCTTATAACAGGCCGCAAAATAGGGTGTTCCGCTGATGCAGCCGGCTTGTTGGTGGAAGGTACAAAACCTGTCATGTTTGATCGTTGGACATACTGCTGCCCAGCAGTTGTGCAAAGCAACCAAGAGATCGCTGCAACTGTCGTTCGCGTGCTGGCCACTGGTCTTCGTGCAGCACATTGCTTCAAGACAAATCCTCATGGTAGCATCGCGCAGTCCGTCACCAACAGTACCCAGATTGGTTTGGTGCCGCAAGGTTGGAAGCTGAAACTGCTGGGGAGCCCAATCCTGCACCACTTTGGCTTCGGAGTGCCGATCAACCAAGGGGTGCTGTTTGAGGCACTCAAACATGCTTTCCCAAACCCTCAAGACAATGCTTATTTGTTTTGAATGCTTGCGAATTGCCGTGTTTCGCTTAGCCCTATTCAGGCAGCGTTTCGGGACATCAATGCCGTCATCAAGTACATAGATTTGCTCGGCGCGCGTGCCAGCCTGGTCAACCGTGTCAACGCGCAGAACCAAGCCAAGCCTGACACGGTGGTATTGAAGTTGCAAGGCCCGCTTTACCGCCGATTGGTTTCTGCAAAGGATTTTCGAATCGCGCAAATGACCATGCACCTGCAATTCTCTGGGAAGGACTGGGCGACTTTTCCTTATTATTGGTATAGCGCAGAGTTCAGTGGCGTCACCCTCACCATCACAGAGAAAATGGTTTGCAATGAGCTCACACAGGAAGATGTACGTGCCAACCCGCACATCCTGGAGGGCATCGTTCGGCAACTTAGTCAGCTATTGAAGACCGGCCTTACCCATTGCGACGTGCGTTTCCCCAACATTTGCTTGCATGAAGGCTTCACACGTTTGCTGGACTTGGAGAGCATTGTTGAACAGCCACCCTCACGATTAGACTTTCCAAACGTCATTGAGTTTACATACCCCAGAGGCCGGGCTGACCCTAGAGGCACTGCTCTTTGGCAGCTGGCCCTAATTCTGTATCGGTCCTCACAGCTTGTGAATACCAAGCCGCTGAAGCTGGACGAATTCCAAAGCTGGCTCGACAGCAATCAGCACATACCGATTTGTCCAGGGCTCAGTTCAAAGTGCCGTAGCCAGGCTATTCGCCTTGATTCAAGAGTCTATTGCAATTGCGCGGTGCAGTTCGCAAAGAGACCTAGGCTGAAACGTCAGAGAAGCGTCGGAGTGAGGAGTAGCGACTGAGTAGTGGTCTACGGTCAGTGCCAGGGCTCTCAACTCTTGTTTTGGTTCAATGTGCGCGAGGTCAAGCCGCATTGCGCGCGGATGAGAATGAAAAGTTCGATGGCGATTTTGCAGAGGTGGTGCTGCAATCCTTCACAATCTGGCAAGGATGTCAATCGATCCTTTTGAACTGGCAAAAGTCCGATCTGTGCGCCTCTTTGGGATTCCTCAACAGTGCTCCTAAAGCCAAGCTTTTGCTTTTTAAAGCCCCCTAAAGCTCCCCCCCCTTCGGGATGCAGAGCCCAATCTAGCCCCTAAGGTCCCTAAACCCTAAACCCTAAACCCTAAACCCTAAACCCTCCTTGCGTCCCGAAACAAACCCAAGCCTAGCCTTTTCGATCCGCAGGGGGGTTGGGTTCAAGATTGCGAGACCGCTGGGCAGTAGCACGGCTGCTGCTCTTTTTTGGTGCAATGTGGTATACTCTTGTTTAGGGTGCCGCCATTTGTGAATCTTGACACCCCTGAAAGCCTTAAATTCTTGAAACCCCCTGAAAACCCTGAAGCCCTTAAACCCTTGAAACCCTTAAATCCTTAAGCCCTTTAAACCCTTAAAGCCTTAAAGCCCTTAAAACCCTTAATGCCCTTAACCTTTAAAGCCCGTAAAGCCCTTAAGAAGCTCCATCTGAATGGCAGATCGTGAGCTCGTTCCGCAATCTCCTCATGGCATGTGGAATGTGCTACAGAAACATTTATTTAGCAAGTTGAGTGATGTCTTCCGGACGACTGACTTCGGAGCCTTAAGCCCTTAAAACCATAAATCCAACAAAAACCCTTACCCCTTAAAACCCTTGACGCCCTAAAACCCTAAACCCCGTAACGCCCTACCCTGCTGTAAAAAACGAGGCCGGTCTTCTTTTGCCGCCGTTCGGAGGACCCGGGCAGGGGGTTTAGGGTTTAGGGTCTAGGGTTTAGGGTTCTGAGCACTTAGGGGTTTCGGGGGGTGCTGTGGCATGTTTTTTTTTTTCTTTTTTCGGTTGCCGCTCTTGCATGTTGTATGCTATTTTTGGCAAGAAATCGATGCTGTCGACAGGCGGTGGCTGCAGTCAAGCGCTCTCTACTGCACTGCCGCTACTTTGAAAAGAGCTCCCGGTAAGATCGGTCCCTGAGCCTATAGCGTCCTTCATGCCGAGGCCATTAGCTGTGTTGGGATAAGGTTCCTCCGTTCCCACCCGTTTATTGCAGAACGGGCCAAGCATGGCGAAACACATTTTTCGGAAAACAAAAGCCCTGGCCACAAAGTTTGCTCAAATGCAATCCGCTTGCACTGGCAACATGAATCGAATCACTGTGCGCCTTCTCCCTAAAGCCTAAACCCTAGCACCTTCTCCTTAGTAGGGGGTCAGGTTCCCTTATCAATCGCGCGAAGCCCCAACACAAAGTGGCTCCTACTCGTTCTTAGGGGCCAACCCCAACCCTCAACTGCAAGCTGCCGGGCATTCTGTGCGCACGGAAGACAGTGGTCTAGTGTCCATATGGCATGGAGGGCTTTGGGTTCAGGGGCTTAGGGCTCAGAGTTTGGGGTCTCGGGTCAGAAGAACCCTAAGCTTAAGGCAGCTTCAGGCCGAAAGCCCTGAAAAACTCGCAACTAAGCCCATGCCCCCCGGCCTTGCGAACCTTTGTGAGGAGATCAATCCGGGTGATGAGTATGAGGCGCTGGCAGGGAGCCCTCAGCCCAAAGCCCAAAACCCTAAACCAAAATGCAACAAACCGAAGCCCCACACGTTGGTACCCTTTTTGTGATCCTTTGAGCTGTTAATTCGAGCCCTGAACCAGCCAGTATCTGGGTTGTGTCGCATTGGAGGTTCTGCACAAGCTCGCCCCAAAGCCTCGTTGCTCAGGGTCTGTGCTACGCGCCAGCGTCTCCCACTTGTAGCATTGGGGGATTACACGCATGCTCGCCCCAAACGCGCCAAGCGCGTCCAAGCGCACGAGCATCCCAGCGCTGCTTGACAACAACTTAGACCCTTAACCCCTGAACCCTAAACCTGCAACCCTAAACCCTAAACCCTAAACCCTAAACCCTAAACCCTAAACCCTAAACCCTAAACCCTAAACCCTGCAACCCGAAACCCCGAAACCCCTCCCCCCTCTCTTGGCTGGAACTTCGAGCCTGGCCCCTTAAGGGTACTAAAACCCTAAACCCTAAACCCTAAACCCTAAACCCTAAACCCTAAACCCTAAACCCTAAACCCTAAACCCTAAACCCTAAACCCTAAACCCTAAACCCTAAACCCTAAACCCTAAACCCTAAACCCTAAACCCTAAACCGTGTTCAGGTGGCGTACAATCAGCTTTCCCACGCTGAGACGAAGCCTGTGCCCCTGCTGCACGTGCCGAGACTAGTTATTGCTTCGTAGTGGGGAATCTCGGAATCATGTACCTGAGATCACCCTCCACCACCCGCCAAAGGCTTACCGAACTCCCTAATTCCCCAGCAAGATCAAGACCGCACCGGAACCACCAACGACTGAAGCCCCGGTTCAGGGCAGACTCGAACGTTCGGACTACTGTCTGTTGCAAGCGCGTTCGGCACTGACACTCGTGTAGTTCCAGCGCCTCAACATAGCCATGAAGACTGGTATGCCTGTCTCCTTGCAGCTCCTGCGGTCTAATTTTTAGGGTTTAGGGTTCAGGGTTCAGGGTGTTTAGGGCTTAGGGTCGATGGCATGATGCGCGGAGAAGACAGATGGGGGACACGTTTGGGATGTGTACGCAGAGCCTTCCTGGAACATGGAGCGGAGAGAAGCCCGCAGGGGTCTAGGGGTCTGGAAACTGCTGGGTTTAGGGTTTAGGGTTTAGGGTTTAGGGTTTAGGGTTTAGGGTTTAGGGTTTAGGGTTTAGGGTTTAGGGTTTAGGGTGCCCCAACGGCGTCGGATCCCAGGATGTTTGGGACGTGCTCCCGCATATTCAGGCTGGGCAAGCCGTGGCTCGGGGTATTGCGGTCTTCGGGGTCTGTAAGCTTCGGGTTTATGGCTTAGGGTTTAGGGTTTGGGCTTAGGGGCAGCCCACAATTCTTTGGAGGTTTCATAGATTATGGTCCTTTTTTGGGCCCCTAGTGTCTTACCTGGCTTGTACTGGGCGCAGAACTCTGGACCTTCCTAGTCCAACAGTACGGTTTTGAGGGTTGTTTAGGGTTCCCATCTCATCAATCAAGGTGCGCCCTCCACGTTTGCGGTGGAAGGTTCGGATGAATGCCATTGGCGGGCCTAAGCACGAATGAGGGCTTAGGGTTTAGGGTCTGGGGTTTAGGGTTTAGGGTTAGGGACCCGAAAACCGAATGCTGTTTCAACATGCCTCTTGCTGCAATCTGTCTGATGGAGTTCTGATAGGTCAGCCCCTGAGCCTAAAACCCTAGAAGCCTAAACCCCCTAAACCCTACAAGCCCCCGAAAAGCCCCAACCCCCGAAGCCCTCAAGTGGCCACCCCTAAACCCTAAACCCTAAACCCTAAACCCTAAACCCCTAAAAGGACGTGGCCGCCGCGAAAGATGCCGTGAAGGCGGCTCTCAGCCCCCTCCAGGGTGTGCTTTGGACGGCACTCACTGGGATTTGGAGTACTATACTTTAATACTTGATTTTGGTTTTGGGTTCCCATGATAGCTACTTCTACCTAAAAAGTATATACTTTTTTTCTGGGTCTACTCCAGAGGTAGGCTCAGGGGGTGGCAGCGGAGCGGGCGGCCGGCGGAGAATTTTGGGTTTAGGGTTTAGGGTTTGGTTTCAGGGTTTCGGGTTTAGGGTTTAGGGTTTGGGGTTTGGGGTTTGGGGTTTGGAGTTAGGGGTTTAGGGCTTATTTAGGTTTCAGGGTTTAGGGTTAGGGTTTGGGGGGGAGAGTTTGGGTTTCGGGGTTTCTAGTTTAGGGCTTAGGGCTTGCGGGTGGGGGGTGGAGAGCTTGTTTGGGTTTGTCTAGGGTTTCAGGCATTTCTAGCCTCGTTCCGTAAATTAGGGTCCCGTGCTGGGTCCTGTAGAGTACGGTATCCGTAGAATCAGGATTCAAGTAGCGACCCTAATTTAGAGAGGTGGCGGTGTTTTTTCCGTAGTTTTTTTCCGTTTTTTTTTGTAGTTTTTTTCCGGCCGTCTGGCCCAGCAAGCAAGCAAGCAAGTAAGCACGCGAGCCAGCAAGCAAGCAAGGAAAACAAGCAACGGTACCAGCAAGCAAGCAATCAAGCAGGCAGGCAAGCAAGCAAGCAAGCAAGCAAGCAAGCGAGCAAGCGGGCCAGCAAGCAAGCAAGCAAGCAAACAAGCCAGCCCCCCC